CATCTATAATCAAACAAGTCCCCAAACGCAGCTTTCTGTGAAAAGATTCTCCAAGAGACCTGACAATCCTTTCTAAATTAATTCCAAGTGCAAACGTTCTGTCCTTCTGTTCTTATACTGTGCCAATTCTGATGGATCTGTCACGGGCTTATCCACCTCTGCATGCTGTTTCTGAAATAAAAACTGAAGTCTGCCTTACACACCTACCCTTAGGAAGGAGCCAGCCTCCAGGGCATTGAGGAGGATCATTCCCCATAAATGCTCTATGGTCTTGATGTCAGATTTGCATAAGTGGTCATTTATGTGACTAGGACAGGGTAATTAGATTTCAGGATTTCTGGAATTGTGGTAGGTTGGCTCTGGGCCGTAACACCTACAGGCAGGTATGAGATCTCATGAGATTATCTGCAGTTCAGGTTCAAGAAGAAAAGTAAAGTATGTCCCTCCTAAGGTTTAAAATGTTGAGGAAGTACTGTGTTTTGGTTGTTTGAGATTAAAGAAATACTACAGAAGTTGTCTTAATTATGAAGTTCTTCTATGATTTATCCATAGGTAACTTAAAAACTACTTTTTGACTTGGTTACAGTATTTTTATTTTAGTAAATATGTTATTATGTGTATTGCCTGTATATGTATGTGAGTGCACCTATGTCGTGCAATGCCACGGAGGTCAGAAGAGGGCTTTGGATTCCCCTGGAACTGGAGTTAAGGATGGTTCGTAGCTGCCATGTGGGTGCTGGCAATCAAACCTGGGTCCTCTACAAGAGCAGTCAGTGCTCTTAATCACTGAGCCATCTATCCAGCCCCCCAGTTACAATATTTTAAAAAATATTTTATCTATTATTTTATTTTTTATGTGAATGAGTGTATTGCCTACATGTATGTAAGCTCACCCATGTCCTGCAGTGCCTGTGGAGGTCAGAAGAGGGCATGGGATCCTCTGGAACTGGAGTTATGGATGGTTGTTAGCTGCTTTGTAGGTACTGGGAACTAAATTTGGATCCTCTGCAAGAGCAGCCAGTACTTTTAACCACTGAGCCATCTCTACCGTCCCAATTTTCTTTTCTTTTTTTTTTAAGGATGAAATAAGTTGCTTTTAGTAAGGAAATTCAGGCAGAAGGAAGAAAAAGTATCATTTCTGATTATACATATACCTTAATTATAATTCACAAAAGCATTAAAAATTAAAAGGGACTGGAGAGATGACTCAGCAATTAAGAGCACTTACTGCTCTTGTAGAAGACACCATTTCAGTTCTCACCTACATGGTGGCTAACAACCACCTGTGACTCTCTTTCAGAGGATTTGATGTCCCCTTCTGGCCTCTATGGCCACCGGACACATATAGTGTAATAGATATAGGCAAAACACTCATATACTAAAATTAAAAAAAAATACTAAGTGAAATAACACAGACTCAGAAAAAAATTGATGTATGTTCTCCCTCATATGTGTATCCTAGAACCAAAACCCTGATAAGTGAGTATGTATCCAGACATAACTACAGGAACCAGGATAATGGAAAGGAAACAGGGAGGTAAAGGAAAAGAAAGAACCTGAAAGAGAAGAACAGTAGGAAACAGGCCTTAATAAGGGAGATATGGATAAAAATTGGGTTAGTTTAAGGGAGGGGGGAGGGAAGGGTATACAAGGAACCTAGGGGATAAAGGGAAAGAAGGAGCTCAAGAGAGGAAGGACCGTAGGAGAAGGGTATTATTAAGGGAGGGGTTGTATGAATCATTAAACTGGTTGAATTCAATACATATATATATATATATGTATATATAAATTTTGTGGGCTGGAGAGATTGCTCAGTGGTTAAGAACACTGACTGTTCTAGCAGAAGACCTGGATGAGAATCCCAGCACCCACATGGTAGCTAACAACTGTCCGTAAGCCCAGTTCCAGGGGATCCAACAGCCTCTTCTGTCCTTTGCAGGCATTGCATGACACTACTTGCGGGCATAACACTCTTACACATAAAGTAAAAATAATAAACAAAATATTTTAAAAATAAAAATAAATTTTTTCAAAAATGTAAAATTCGTGGTGGCACACTCCTTTAATCCCAGCACTCGGGAGGCAGAGGCAGGCAGATCTCTGTGAGTTTGAGGCCAGCCTGGTCTCCATAGCAAATCCAGGCCAGCTAAGGCTACAGGGAGACCCTGTCTCAAAAAGACCAAAAAAATAAAATAAAATAAAATTCAAAAGACACAAATGTGCAACCATATATATATATATACATATATATGTATATATACATATATATGTGTGTATTTATAAAGTAAAGGACTATAAAACGGCATGCATGTTTCCCTATTGACTTCAGACCCCAAGTTTAAAAGTCTTTGTAAACAAAGCTAATTATGTAGATCAAGGATTTCCAAATGTTGGCTCAACTCCTGCTCTTCCTTAGAGTGAATGTGAGGAGCTAAGTGGCAGGCTGGTCTTTGAATGGGTATGGTGTGAATAATACCATACAAGTTCATCATCTCAAGCAAAAATGTACTTAGGACATTAGTTTGGGTGTAAGGCTTATGTTAATAATGTGTATGTGTTTTAGTTTCTAAATTTTTTGCCCTGTAGAAGGCTTGTTACATGGAGAAAATTAACGGAGTAAGAAAAAAAAATGTTTAGGGGACGTAATCTATTAGTTATATGATAATTTTATTAAATCTCAGTATTTAAATGGGACTTGCCATCCTGAATGTCTACCTTTATTATAATCTTTAAAATAAAGCATTAAAGTCATCTGATTTTAAAGAGTCCACCCAACTCCAGCTTTAAAGTTAGTCAGTTAAGGGAGAACAGTAAGGTAGAGGAAGAGAAAGGGGAGGGCATGTCTCTGTTCTTCCCTAGCTGCATGATGCAAGGTGTGTATTAGAGGGACATTATAAAATATGTCTGTGATTAGCCAGGCATGGTAGCACATATTTGCCATTACAGCACTCTGGAGGCTAAAGTAGGAGGAACATCAAAGACACAGCCACACTGTGCTTCACACAAAAGAAATAAAACTAATAAATGTAAATATGTATTTCTTATATTCTTAAATATTACAGTATATTGGCACAGATATTTTAATAGCCTACCTTTCCTAACAGCTGATGAAAGATACTTTTTATGTATTAAGATGTTATCTTATGGGGTTTGGGGGATGGCTCAGTCATAAAGTGCCAGTCCCTCTAGCATTAGAACCTAGTTGGGATCCCCCATACACATCTGAAAAAGACAAGGGTGGCAGGAGACACCTGTAAGCCCAGTGCTGGGGGAAAAGAGAGGAGATAGGTGGCTGCCTGAAGCTCATGGCTACTCTAACAGAATCAATGACCTTCCAGTTTAGTCAGAGACCCTGTCTTAGAAAAATAAAGGTGGAGAGAAGGTGAGGAAAGACACAGATTGACAAATACCTACAACACTTGCACATATATGCACACACCCACATTAGCAAGTACATACACCACACACATACACTATACCACAGAGACACACAATATACATGCAAACACTCCAAATTCTCGTTTATGTATGGACATAAAATTCTGAATAGCTTGAACAGAGTTCAGAATTCTTTCTTGTGTCAAAAGCATAGAACAAGATCAAATAAGGCAATGATCAAGAAGGAAGATAAACTATAGGAATCAGCAACTGTACTTTTTTTTGACTTTATGGTAGTTTGTTAGAATTCAAAAGAGAATTTAGTAATAATATTTGGTAGATAAATTTAAGTAGATGGATAATAGGAAATGCTTATTTTTGTTTAATGTTTTTTATAATCATTATTTTTTAATTTTTAATAACTACATGATTAGAAGAAGCATTTCACTACAGTTTTAACATATTCAGTGACACACTCCAGAGCAAGAGTGCATCTCTTTCACAATTGGGTGCAAGTTTCTAGGTTTGAACTCACAGAGAACCATCTGCCTCTGTCTCCCGAAGCTGGGATTAAAGCTGTGCGCCACCACGCCCAGCTGAATGAGTTTTTAACCTTTAAAAAAGATCTGCATTTCATTTTAAAATATACTGTTTCTTATAGAAAGACTCGTTGTTTTTGCTAATAACATTGAGATGTTGGCACACGCATCTCTAACCTGTATGTATCTGATTATTACTAGTCATAATCAGTTGCATTTAGATCCTTGGCACCTGTGTATGTCTATAAAGTCATTGGGTAGATTTCAATGGTAATGTTTATCACCTCTACTAATTGTCATGACATAAATTTCCATGCTTCCTCCTCAAATATAATACATTTTGCATACTTTTTATATAGTTCATAATAGGTTTGATATATCCTTCAAAGATATGTAATCAAAAAGCCCATCTAAGACTGTGTTATTACTCTAGAAGTAGATTATATTTGGAATAATGAAGAATTGCTTATATAAATCACAAATAAATGAAATAAACAACAGGCCATCAAGATGACTCAATGGGTAAAATCACTTGCCACCAAATCTGATGACCTGATTTCCATCCCAAGGACCCACATGGGTAGAGGGAGTAAACTGATTCTTACAAATTGTCACCTGATAGCCACATATGCTGTAGCACATATGTGCATGTACATGCACACACATCACATATACAAAAATTTGAAACATAAAAATGAAACAAACCAAGAGACTTTTTTTGTTATCAAGAAAAATTTGAGAATTTCTGTTATTGCTCCTAGTTTTCAGTCAGAGAAATTTGTATTTAGAATGGTGAGAGAAAAAGTATATATGACTTCTTTGAACTTGACATCAAATGTTGCAAAGATTAGACACACTGCATAATAATCACATCAGAGGAAAGGGGCTGCTAATGTTACATATTTACACAAACACAAAATGACATGGACTGACACGAAATCATCTAAGGCTGAAGTAATCAAATTCTGTAGCAAGCAAACACACAGAAGGTTAACAAACAATGGTTCCTTGTATTTGTTTTTTTGACAAAATTTTTCTTCCTAGTGGAATGTATTTTCAGATGGACATTGTGTGTACTTACAGGGTGCTGTGATCACACCCACCATGGACCACCCCATGTCAATGCAGCCAACAAACATCGTGGGTCCCCTGACGCAGCAGATGAATCACCTTTCACTGGGCACAACAGGAACGGTGAGTGGAAGACTTTAGTTTTGCTTTCTGGGACTTCAGTGAGATGCCCTGCTCTGTTCTCCTTGGCATTACCAGTGAACTGCTTCCAATTCCCTCGTCTAACATACTCTCCATGCTTCACCAGGAACAAACTGCATTCTTCCATGCAAGTTCAATCCCCTGTCTCACTCACTCATTTGGATGAGGGCTCCACAGTGTTGCCTTTATACCTGTCCCTATTGTGTTACAATGCACAAAGCATAATAGCTCTTTTAGACTTTTCTGAAAGAAATCTGCTTATACCTGCAGATCTAGACCCCATGGCCACGTACTTAGGTTTGCTTTCATATCTCCAGCCGCTTACCAACTGAATCTTACTACGCCCAGGTCCTTCACCTCTGACTGTGATTGATACAAAGGACATTTTCTTTTCTGTCAGTGTTTAAATAAGAAGTCACTGGGAACTTGGCTTAGTTTAGGTTTTCATCTTCTCTTTGGTTATATTGGCATAGACAATATTGAAAGAACGAAAGGAATCTGACATCCTTCATCTTGTCTTATAGGTTATGACACTGTCAACTAGCCTTATTTCTTGTATACTGAAAAAATGCCAATAGCACACTTAATCTATCAACAAGATACTTAATGGACAAATCTTTATGTTGCTGATGTTTTAAAGACAATTCCCCATAATATCCATGTCTAACACAACCTAGAACACTAAAACTATGCTTAGTAACATCACAGAAAAGAGTGCAAATATCATGGGTTACCAGTGCTCACAATATTATTTTCCATAGACGTTAGTGCAGGTAATTTCATCTTTTTAAAATATGTAGTAAACAAGCACACTTCCTTTTGATGCAGCATAGTCATTGTAGAAAGACTCCCAGAAATATCAGGAAATATTGGTTTAAATCCTGATTGTATCCTTGGGAACATGGTATTTTCTGGTCTCAACCTCCCTCTCTATATTTAGATGATTGGGCTTGATATATGGGGTCCTTGCTATATGGGGTCATGCAGTTGAAGCTGCATGATTTTCTGTCTCTAAGCCTTGCTGTCTCTTGGTCACACTCAATGACTCTCACAGAGACAGAGGAGTCATTTATTAGTACTGATATGTCCTGTGCACACTAGCTATTGGATGAAGAGTTGTTCACCTTGGAGCAATGGCTCCCCTGTCTCAAAAGAATGGAAGAAGTTTCTGACACACCCACAGTCTTCCCTGATTTCTATATAGGTAGAAAATCCAAGCAACCTAATGGAGAAAAGTCACATTCTTTCAAGGAAGAAATTTAATTTCATTAATAGGAACAACATGCCTGTCCCCCTGGCTTGAGTGGCTAACACTGTAATAAGCTATTGGCAATAACTTACCTGCATGAGAGCTGGAAGCTGAGTCAAATAATTTCATAGGCATCTAATGTAGATATTAAGAAGTCATGCTTAAGATCACATTTAACTATACACTGTGGTACGGATAATTTTCATTGGGAGATAGAATTTATAGATAACCTTATTATCGCCTTTAGTAAAGTATAAGGATATTTTTTAGTCTCTTTTTCATTCCTAGTAAAGTGGGATCTAAAAGGAGGATTGGAAGCCATGAAGGTTGTTACCTCCATCTCCCACCATAGACTTCTCTAACCTATGAGGTTTTTAGTCCATCAGTAAATATAGATTGGGAATGAGTGAAAGATGGCAACTTTGCTGCATTGAATTAAACCATGGAATGTGATTTTCAAAAAAAAAGAGTTACAATGGAAAACATAGAGATCCTTTCAACATTGTACCTGTTAGACTCAAAAGCAAAGCCAGTTTTATGGCTGAAGTTTAAACTTGTCAACTTGTAAGAACACAAGTACTAGGTAGCTAAATATATGACTGTATCCTTAAAGAAATTGGAAAATAAGCTAAAATATATAGATTAGGCTCCAAATCATAGCACTGATTCAATATAATTATGTATTTGAGAATTTTCAACCAGAGCAGATTTATATAGAACCACAGCTTTTGCCCAGCTGGCAGCAGCCGGTAATAGTAATGATATGAATTCGATGATACTGTGGATCACTACCTTTCTTAGCAAGTAAAAGATTTTAGCAATTGGCTTTAATTTTAAACACCAAATTCCCTCTAGCATTTTTTTTCTCTTCATTGTATTTCTTCTTTAACTGTTACAGATGCATTATAAGCCCCATATAACATTGACAGCATACCAAAGTTGACAGCTTAATAAGTTTCTGGAAAGGCAGAGAGAAGCTATATTATTATGTTGATTCATTCAAAAAAATATAATCGAGTGTGCTTAGTTTCTAGAATGTTCTCATGTTTTTATTTTCCCTGAGCTATCACTCTAATCATTTGGCATATCATCAAAAATTTGTTTTGATGTGAATTTTTTATTGACATTTGGAGTGGGATTACCTCCATATAATACTTCCTTGCTAACTTTGGAAGGACCTTGGGGTTCAAAGCCTGGTCTACCCTTAGAATTAACTGTGTGTTTGGCAAGCTTCCTAGGCTTCCTCAAACTTTTACTTCTTCTCTTATAAGGAGAGAATAATACTATCTACATCCCAAAGATGCTGTGAGTGTTAAATGAAATGCTACACACAGCAAACCTTATGCAATATGTCACACCCAGTGGGTGCTTATCAAGTGAGCCATCCTTTCCCCTTAATCTCTAGTGGTGTCTACCAGGTGGTAGTCCAGTCCCCAGAAGCAATACAGCATTGTATTAAGTCCTTAGTTCAACTTCTTTGACAGTTCAGTTTCAAGGGATGTAGCTAACTTCCTTTAACAGTCTATTCTGTTAGCTGCTGACATACTCTTCCAAGACACGTGAATGAGTAAAGTTGAGAGAGTTCAAGCAAACTCCTCAAAAAGATTGAGTCAAATTTTCTCTATAGTTTCCTATATCTTGCAAATAGACATGACATTGAGATTACGATTTAGATGGATTTTCAATTTAACATGAATAATATCTTTTAGTGTTGGACACCTAATGGATAGAGGTGGTACCTTTGGAAGTTAGGAATGTGAGGAACTTCTACAGGGAGTGTGGTCACATCCCAACTGCCATCAGTCATTGAATTGTCACACAGACCTAGGGTGATCTTGCCATCCAATTTTAAAAAATATAACCTGAGGATTTGGATTTTGATGCAAAATCTCCCTGTATTTGGATACAGACCTGTTTGTCCCGAGAACTCCTATCTTGTGATTATATCTCAAGTTTTCATGGTTCTCTCCAACCTCTCTGGCCATTCCTCCCTCTTTTCTTTCACAAGCTCAGAAAGCATCCTGCTGACATCTTACACGGTTTTGTTAAGAAATCTCATCCACTCTCATGGGCTCAAACCTTGTCTTTCATGTTAAAGATTCCTAAGTCTGAGTCTTCATCTTAAGACTCTTAGACTCGTCTATCTGATCTCCATGGAGCTCTCCTTCCGATGTCTCAAAGCTAGCATCTTCCACACTCATGTCATGAGTTTTGTTGAATTTCTAACTGCAGCTTCTTCCTCTTATGTGTTCCTGCCCTGTTGTCCTTCAAGTTAACACTGTGACCATTTATTCACACAGTTACCAAACAATACACCTAGGACTCCATCTGTATCATCTTCCTTCTTCTTTTCCTCCTTATACAGTTACGTTTTAAGTCTCATGAATCAAGTCATAGGCATTTGTCAGATCCATCCTCACATTCTAATTTCTGACCTCCACTGTTGGTGTTGCCTGAATGATTGTAATAGACCCCTAACTGAGCTCCCTGCTTGCAGTGTCAATGTCCTTCAGTCTTTGCTGCACTATGCCATCCACCCAACTCATCTAAACTATTACATTAGTTACTTTTTGTTGCTGCTATAAAATACCATGAAAGCCCCTTATAGCAGAATAGCTTATTTGGGCTTGCAGTTCTAGAGGGGGTGTCCGTAATGGTAGGGAAGAAGCTATGGCAGCAAGTGGCTGGAGCACGGGACTGGCTGACCGATTTCATCACACAGGAAGCTGTGGAAGTCAACTTGGAAGTTGGGCAGGGTTGTAAACTCTCAAAGCCTGCCTCTAGTAAAGGCAGTAGTAGTAAAATACATCCTCCAGCAAAGCTCCGTGTCCTCAGGGTTCCATATCCTCCCCAAACAGAGACCCAGCTGGGGACTAACTGTCCAAATACATGAGTCTATGGAGGACAGTTTTCATTCAAATCACCACAACTGTAGAATGGTGTCTCTCTCCTACCTGATAGTTTTCAATGATTTTCAGACATCTGAGCTGTTAGAAAATTTCCAAAACAAGGTGTGAACAGCAGCAACAAAGACCCAGGAACAGACAGGTTCCTGGGCAGAGCGTAGTGAGATTTGTGATAGTTTAGAGTAGGTAGTAGTTAGACTGAAGGAGGGGGCAGCAATAGTAGAATTTTCCTTTATTAGAAGGGGCAGAGGCCACAGGCTGTGTCCTGCTTTCCTTTTATGATTCCCAACAAAATGAATTGTGTTGAGCCAAAACCTCATTTTCCTCTTTATAAAATCAGTATGTTTCATCACAAGTGGGTACCATGCAGTTTAATGAAGCTCTGTCTGGAATTTGCCTCCTCCGAGTTTATTCCTCAATTCTCCACCCATTTCTGAGCTGGACTAAATTTGCAGGTTTGAAGCTAAGTGGACTTTATGCAAGCAGTGTAACTGCTTTATTTCATGGCTCTGCTGACCTTGAAGAGCTTTTCTAGTTTGTCTGCTTTTGTTTATCCTTTGTCATAGAATTCTTGTGATGAAAGCAAAACCCCATTGTCCATCATTTCTTATCACTCTACTGGAAGCTTTCCCAGAAACCACCAGGGACTTGACTGTGTTATGAGAACCTTTGAATTGCATGACAGTCTTGTTTTACAACTCTCTTATCTCCTTTCCATTTGTTCTGCTGCTGGTCACTAGTGGCTGACAAGGCCACCAGACTCTGCTCAAGAAATAAAAAGACTTTGTTCTGCAGACTCCTTATCTCTGTTCAGTAGGATTTCCCCAAACCAAGGGTTAATTGTGACATCATTGGATTCTGCTGGCATAACCATAGCTACTCACACTAACAATCCTGGAACTGTACTCATGATTGGCCAGAGCTCACTAGTGCTTTTTGGGACTCTACCACTTGGCTACCCTAAAACTCTGAAAACTACCGGTAAAAATATGCATTATTTATTCACTTTTTATCACTAGGCATAATATCAGTATTAAGAGGGAGAGTTATAAGAGAACAGAAAATATTGAATGAACCCATGACTCAGTACCCATTATCATAAATGATAAATAGTATCATAAATCATAATGACCACATTTCCTTAGGTGACTTTTCAAGAAAAAGTAGCAACCAATTACAAATTAATACAAGATAGAAAATGTAGATTAAAGGTTTTAGTTTTAAAATATTTCTTTAGTCTTATTGTAAAATAAAAGACCTATAAAGATAGCTTTGTTATGTAAATAATGAGCGAGTAGTTATTTAGTCATAGTTTATTAGGATAAAACAATATACTTACAAATATTTAACTTCTACTGCTTCAAAAAATGGATAATGAGCCCTGCCTGGTGCTGTACTCCCTTAATTCCAGCACTCGGGAGGCAGAGGCAGGCAGATTACTGTGAGATCTTGGGATAGACTGTGCTAGCATGGGATGGTCTACATAGCAAGTTCTAGACTAGCTGTGGCTACACAGGGAAACCCTGTCTCCAAATTTTTTTTAATTAAAAAAAGAAAAAAAGAAAAAAAGAAAAAATTGGTCATGACTTCAAATAAATCAACTAATAGCACAACAGAAAAGTCCTAATATATAGAACATCAAGGAAAATTAACTGATAGTTATTTTAAGAAAAATATAGAGATTAGAAAACTGAATAATACACAATAAAGCTGTCATTAAAGAAACAGAAGGTATAACTTAACAAGTACAGATACACAAGTACACACAAGTGTACATGCCATTGAATAAAGTAAAAAATCCTCATGTTGCTACTTTTCATGTGTAGGAAAATAAGAATTGATGATATCCTAAATTTGTATAAGCATCCATAGAATTACCAAGTGCACAGTCCAAAACCCCCCAGACAACTTCCCTAACTTGTTACTTAAATTTTGAGAAGCTACATGTAGCAATAGTGTAAAATAACAACAACAACAACAAACAACAACAACAACAACAGATAACAAAAAAGCCTTTAGGCCCTAAAACCATTTGATACAGGGTTCTTAGCAATAGTGTAAAATAACAACAACAACAACAAACAACAACAACAACAACAGATAACAAAAAAGCCTTTAGGCCCTAAAACCATTTGATACGGGGTTCTTAGCAATGTTTAGAAAAGAAGAATAATTAAATGACACATGATCCATCCTTCGACTCGATGTAACACAGTGTGAACTCATGAGTTTCAAATAAGAAAGGACTATTTCTAATGTTATGTCAAAAGAGCTGGATGTAAATTTGTACATGTGGCATACAGTAGCAACACTGAGGAATCAATTATAAAGTGATACTGTTGAGAAATACGAAACAGAAGGCTGAGATGCGGCTCAGTGGTTAAGAGAGGACCTAGAGTTCAGCTTCCAACACCCACATCAGGTGGTTCATACCCACCTGTAACTCCAGCTCCAGGGGTTCGGATCCCCTCTTCTAGTCTTTGTGGACACCTGTACATATATGCACAGATACCATATGCACACATAAATAAAAATAAATCTTAAGCAAAAAACATCAAAACAAGTGTGTTAAAATTTAGAAATGAGATTGAAGTAATTTCTATTTTTATCACTTTGTTTATAATCTTCAGCTACTAAACAGAAATCATTATTTGCTTTTGACATATATTACGCATATACAATATATATTCTTTGTGATATACATATATATCAAAATCACCAATGATGTAGGCTAAAATTTAGCTTTGTTTTTTCTTAATTTTGGAATGTGATATGCAGCTATAGATTTTATTACAAGGTAACTAGGCATTACTACCCTACTTACTACTACCATTAATACCAAAACATTTGTAAATACTTTAAAATTGGTTCTAGGGGAGGTAGATCAGCATTAAGAACACTGGCTATTCTTCCAGAGGACTGGGATTTGGTTCCCAGTACCCAGATGGCAGCTCGCATCCATCTGTAACTCTGGTTCCAGGGGATCAGACACCCTCTTCTGGTTTTCTCAGTGCCTCACACAGGTGGTACACTTACATACATGCAGGTGAATGCTCAAATCCATAAAGTAATTTTTTAATCTTTAAAAAACGATTGAAAATTTATTATTCTATGTGGGGATTATAGTCAAGTCACTACTCTGCCTACCTATTTCAAAAGATAAAACAACTCATAACTAATTTATTTGCATTTGAGTCTTGAGCGAGGGCTGCTTGCTCTTACTGGTTAAAGAACTTTACAATGTTCAGATTCTGATGCTTCTTAACATGCCACTTCTTCAGAGAATGATTGGCATTATTCAAACAGACAAATTTGTGAATGGTCTAGAAAGTCAAGTGAATGTTGATATACATTTGGGGATTTAGCTTATAAAATGAAGTACGGTTCATATGAACGAAATAAGATTTCACACAGTATCATTTATGTCACAATCCTTTAGAGACTTGGGAGTAAACGCTCATTGTTTTCATTTTTAAAAGGGTGGCTACAACTATAGGCTCTTTACCACCTGTTGTTTTAAGATCCCTGGCTAAGGGCTAGTTGGGAAGGGAAAGGAGTGGGAAAGGGACAGGAGAGGGTGATGGCGTGAAAATGTGTTAGGGACCTGTATGAATCTTGTAATGAAATCCATTATCATCTATAATTATTAACTACAAATAAGACTGTTAACAGTAAAGATCCTTGGCTAAAGGCAGTGTGTGAAGTCAAAGCCTCTTTTTCATCCTCAAAACAGCAGAGAATTTTTTTCCCTCCATGACCCCAAGTTTTCCAAAGACTGCTATGAAATTTAATTGACCTCGGTCTAGAATTTTCTATCACCAATGTTAGAGTCCTTGAAAACACAGCCATCATCTGTTCCATATGATCTGGCCTTTATGTCTGCACATTAAGCTCATGGACCTGGGGCAGAGAGTGCCCTGTACTCTGCCTCATGGGCCTGGGTCAGGGGTTAAGGGAGTTGCTGATAAGAAAACTTTGGCTTCAAACTGCATCTACTCCATGGAGTATGAGAACATGCAGATTTTTTTATTGATCTCCTTTAAAAATTATTTCTTTTGTTTTCTATTCCTGCCATGCTCTGGTAGCCCTCCAGATGGGCTGTCTCATAAAATTCTTATGATACCCAAGGAAGGTAAACGTTTCCCACTGACTCCCAAAGGGAGACTCCAAACAGACTGAGGAAGGTGGCCATGTTCTGAGACCAACTGGTCCTAATTACATGCACAGTGTGGTGGTCATGGGGAACAGGTATCAGCTGACCACTAAGGTCATGAAGCCTGGGGTGCTTGACGGAAGAGGGTGGGGGCAGGTGACCCTGTGATACACAATGGGCCCGTCCACTTTTAAAGCTAAGATTCTGTTTTTATTTTCTTTTGGACTTCATTGCATTCTTTCTCATGCTCTTTTCATTCCAAGATTCAATCCCAAGACAGAATTATGGTACTTCACCAGCTGTTGTGTCAGGTAGGAAAATTCTAATTCCTTTTAGACTTGATTGGAGGGGAGAGATGGAGCTTGCCTGGTTTTCACCAAAACTCTTCAAAGCAGTGATTCTCAACAGGGGTGGGTAAGGAAGTTTGAATTTCATTTTGGCAGGAGGGAGGTATGTGTCGTTATGAAAAGTTTATTTACTATAACAATCTGGCCTTATGTCTGGAAAACAAATATGTTTTCTTTAAAATAAAAAGGAAGACCTCAAAGACACTTGGTCTGTGAAAGCTGTGCAGAAGCTTTAGTTATTCTGAGTGTCAAGGGGTGTAAGTGCTTGACACATTCATTGGAATGTCTGAAAACTGGGAGAAAGAGTTTACATTCAACCAGAAAGAAGCACAGATTTCATAAAAATAGATTGAGAAGCACTGCTTTAGAGCCCAATGTTCCTCCAAAATCAGAAAGTCATCCCATTTTGCTTGCTGGGCGCCCACGATAGGGTCTGATATGTTTACTCATTAAAATTTGTTGAATGAATCAAAGCTTCAATTTTGTTCCAAAAATGATATTTGGGTTATCAATAGTGAAGCTACCAATATTCCATTCGTACGACAAAGTGGCAGGGGCTGCTTTGAAAATATACTAGGTTCTTCAGAATTTTAATTAGTATTGAAGTTGCTTCATAACATTCAATGGTGGGATCTGTAGCTGAGTATCTATGTGTGGAAATTTTTTTTGAACAGTGTAGATATTGTGTTTTCATCTTATTTTTAGTTTTGGTTTGTTGTAAGGAGGAAAGTGGGCACAACTGTTCAGGGTTTTTTTTTTTTTTCACATTGAAATACTGGCAGTCTGAAGAACTTTGAACTCTTTGATCTTTAAGATTTTGGGTGGCAAAAGTGTTACAATTATCCTGAAAGAGCCTAGGAGGAAATTGAGCCTGGTAGCCAGACAATGGCTTTCGGTCAAGAGCTTGTGCTAGTGGTCCTGGGCTTACTTGACCCAGTATCTGAAGGTAATCCTTCCTTATATCTGGTGGACTTGATTTGCACAGCTGTGCAAATGTCCTCTATGAAGAACAATGGATTGTCTGTCTTCCAGCTGTGATATCACTTTGTTACCCTTAGATTTCCATGGATTGCCATTCATTAAAATGTCGTAATGCCTTTCCCCCCAAATGCATGCTCTATATTGTGTCCTGATATATCTTTTGCACTGAAAACATTTGACACCATAGAGGAGATTTTGCTATGTACACTTTTTACTTAAATCTTAGACTAACAAAAGGTATGTAATCTTCATAATTAACCAACATTAGTAATAATGAAAGGTACAACATGAAACTCTCCCCCAACCACATATCCTTACTCCACTTTCAAGAACACAATGAAAACAGTTATGAGAAGTTTTTACTTGGTACCAATCAAAGATCCACCTTCCCACCAATTGATCCAGGTGAGAAACTTTGTCTAAGCTCTGAAGGAGTTCCCGTCTGATTCCATTGAAACTTCTTCAGCAGATAAACAACTTGTTAAACATAATAATTTAGAATCCTTTAAGCATGTACATATGTGCTTGAGGAAGAAGAAATGAAAACCACATAGAAATGTTTAGAGAGCACAGACATAGGGCTTTGGGCAAGGACTCAGTCAGTTAAGCGCTTGCTGTGCTAGCAGGAAGACCTGAGTTTGATCCCTAGTACCCACATAAAAGAGCTGGGCATGGTGGCATAGACTGCTAATCCCAACACTGGGAAGGCAGAGACAGGAGGATCCCTTAGGCTCACTGGTCAGTCGATATAGCCTAATTAGTAAATTGCAGGTAAATGAGAGACTGTCTCAACAGCATTGTGGGTAGCTCCTGAGGGATGACATCCAGTGTTGACCTTGATCTTCCACCTACAGGAAAACACATGTGCATATGTCTGCATTCCCATAAACATGCACCCCCTAACACACACACACACACACACACACACACACACACACACAAACACCCAAACATACCCTTTGAATAATAAAAAATGCTAAGTTTCTAGTAGTGGAGCACAAGAGACTGACAAAAGATTCACATGAACAATAACATTTTGGATTATTTTACAGTTATTTTGTAGTTATAGGATTTGGTCGGTGGTTAGACATATTACACATTTAGGCAGACTCTTTTTGTTTATCCATAAATAGAAACAGACTTACCTTTCTGAAATGTTTGTTAACTTGATTGTGGCATCATTTGATTGACTTTTGAATAATTACATATCCTTTGTGTAACTATTGACCATATTAGGAAACAAAAAAGGGCCATGATATTAAAATATCTCCTTCCTAAATATCCCAATCTGCCAATATTAGGTGATTGAGATAATCAGGTTTTTGCCAGTGTGGGAGCCTACAAAATTCCTGCAATATATTGGAGTTCAAGATACATACTTGGTAGTATACAGACATATAATCTAACTTACTTTCATTCGATCAATATTTCCAATATTTGCTAGATGATTTGGGGTACTGAATACTGCATTAAGTACTGAAGATGTAAAGATAGTTAGAAAATCAATCCTTGAAAATAATATCATTGTTTGATTTGATGTTGCTGTTTCTTGTGATGTGATTTGTGATGATGTACAAAGTTAGGAAGAAACAATAATGTAGGAAGATTTTAGATACTCAGGAATAAAATGACTTCTGAAAAGAATCTGGAAGGATAAATATGAATTTTCCAGATAGACCGCAGTTGGAAGATGCATTAGGCAAATAGTACAGGATGTGTCAACTCTTAGAAATAGGAAACAGTATGAAGGGTTTGAATGACAACAAGTCATTTGCTATTTGGGGACGAATACCACTGACATATATCAAACCTAGGTAAGCACAATTCTGATTTTCGGTAAGGGGTCTTTGTTCTTTTTTCAGTCATGCATCACCTTGTTTTCACTTATTTAATTTTTATTGGAAGCATATTATATGCTTTTAATGGAACTTCCCTATAAGAACTGAAAATATTATGAAAATGTTACTTACAACAGCATTGTAAGTAATTCCATATGAACAATACTTAAGTTAGTCAACTCATAAGTGAGAAGCCCAAGTTCAGAAGTTATTTGTGTCACTTATTGGTTATGAAAATTTGGGAGAATTATTTAACTCTCTATAATTTATCTGGGGACTTACTACTAATCTTATAAAGTCAAAGGCATGGATTGAGTCAAAACATAACTATCTGCTTAGAACAGACCCTAGCATAAAATAAGTGTTCAAGTAGTGTTAGCCAGACTCCCCACACTAACCATTACTGACACAGCATATTATGGTGGCACAGAGAAAAAACAATGGCCATACACTAGCAGAGGAGAAGAGAGGGTCCCAGTGGAAGAATTTCCTAAATGTAGACACAAAGACACATGAGAATTAGCTAAGCATCACAGATCTGACAGTTTCACACCAAGAAGGCAACTTGTACAAAGATTCTTGAGAGCAGAGGATGGCAGGTTTAGGGGACTACAGAGATGTGGTAGGACAAGGATACATGTAGAGGGATGCAGCATGGGAAAAACTAGCCTGGGAGGTTGACAAACTAGACAGTATCATCAGATATGGCAACTGAAACATTTGAAGTTGGAGAGTGGCAAATCACTCTGGCTGAAGGATGAGGAATACATTAGAGACAGCAAAAACAGAAAAGGGAAAATGAACTCATGAAGGAAGAAATCATGGAGGCATGTACTCTAATATAGAAATGACCACAACATTGAATGCTGATGAGTTGGTGACATTTGAAGGGGGTAGACTATTCAGGATTTAGTAGCCAATTGAATATTAGAATAGAAACTGAAAGAAGAATTAAGTTTAAGTCTTCAGTACCTACCACTTAGTGGCCTGTTATGCTATTTTCCAGGGCCTGAAGTTAAGAGGAAGAATGAAATTTGCTAGGGAAGTGACTTCTGTGCTGAGTGTGTTGAGTTTGAGATAGCCATCACACAGGCAGGTCAAGAGTTTAATGACTGTTTCAATGTGTATAGCTGGCTCAAACAGTATCTTTATAGAGGTGTGGAGTTTGGAGTTACTACCATGGAATTAAGCCTTGTCACTAGGAAGAATGTGCTTAGAGTCAGGAAAAGTAGGCAAAACCCTCAAAAATAAAGAACAAGCACAAAATGAAACCTGAAATGAGGGCTGGAAAAGGCAATTACAGAGTAGATCGAAGGCAAGCTAGAGGAAGAGGTTTCAAGTCAGTCAAAACCAACAGAGCATTTCAAAAGAAAGCACACATAGTGATTTGAGTCTGGAAAATAAGTGACTGGATCTTATTTTACAAGATCATTAGGGTGGCTGAAGAGATGGCTCAGCAAAGAGAGCTTGCTGCTCCTGCAAAGGACCAGAGTTCAGTTCCTAGCATCCATTCCGGGCAGCTCATAACCACCTGAAACGCCAACTCCAGGGGTTCCAATGCCCTCTTCTGGTTTCTGCGGGAGCTGCACGCACATGTACATACACTCATTCATAAATAAAAATAAAATGAAAGCATATATATGATCACTAGTGAATTTGATGGTTTAGAGAAAAGACCAAAGAACAGTGATTGTCATGCAAGAAGGGGCGAGAAATGGCAGACCAAAGAGAGTCCACAATCTGTCTTTGAGGACCATTGGGGGTGATGTGAGAAAACAGAGAATATAACTGATGGGTTTTTTGTTTTTTTTTTTAAGATAATAATATTCTGTTGGGAAGAAGCGATTGAATATATTTTCAAAGGGAGGTAAATAGCAGAACAAAGCCCTCAAGGAAGCCAAGTTTGTAGAGAACAGGAAGAAGGAATCTTGTGTATGCCTGTAGGAACAGGAAGCCACTATTGTGTTCTGTGTGGAGTACTAAGTGAATACCTTCTGAGAGTCATATGGAGACAGACCCCTAAGGACTTTGGCAGAACAAAGGGTTTGAAATGTATGGAGTAGTATCTGCAGTACGTAGAAAGATTGATGGTAAAATTGGGTGTTCATTCGATGCTATAGATTAAAGCTATAGCTTGTGATACTG